CCCCAAAACCCCAAAACCCCAAAACCCCAAAACCCCATTTGAACACTTGAGCATTGAAAAGAAGAATTTATGCTTACAGTTATAATCTTATTTAATTTTAATGTTCTCAATCAATCCTTGTGATAAATATTTCAGTGATGAACACTCAAATCTTAACTTCTTCACTGAAGACCTTGGTTTTGAGTACGAGCAGAACATTGATCTCTCCGAGAACCATGATCTCTTCGATCACAAGAGTCCTGAGCTCAAGGGCAACATGCAGAGCATTTCTGGAGATCAAGCTCAGTGAGACAACATTAGCATTAAAGGAGTTCCTGAAGAAGTTAACGAGCCTCAGGGGTGTGACTTATCAACGAGCAAAAGTGTAAAGAAGTCAGACCCAGTGAACATGTCCATCCAAGAAATTATTGATTCTACTGAAATGAACACTCCTGAGGTAGAGGTCACCCATCTCACCTCTCAAGACTGTAAGGCCAGGAGGAAGAAGAGGAGCAACCTTAGTAACACCAGAAGGAGGAGAAAGGACATTATCTTTAAGTCCATCTTAAGAAGATGTAGGAAATACTTCCAATCAGAGTTTAACAATTTCTGAAATTACTCAAGAGTCAAAAAGAGGAGATCTCGTACCTTTTTCTTTGAGCAGATTACTAAGTTCTATGTGCATATGTTCCAAGAAGAGTGTCCTGACCTTCTTATCTTCTCGGCGTTCTTGAACTCTAAGGATACTATTAAGACAATTGATCTATACACCTCAGAGGAAAGTGAGATAGAGTCAAAGAAACAACAAGTGAGCAAGATTCATGACATCCTGTATAAATTTACCCATGAAAAGATGGGGGTCTTCTTCGAGTACTCTCTTCTGAACTTCCTCTTCAAAAAGTTCGTGGAAGTAGAGAAAGAGTCACTCCCAAAGGGGTACATGCAGCAGCTTGAAACGATGCAGACCCTCCTCTAATTATTCAAATTAATATTTGCTTATTAATAAATCTTCCCGAGAAAACCTGTCTTTGTATAAAGTAGCCATTTTAAGTGCGTTTTTCTTCATTTTTGACGAGTCGATCCCAGTCAAACTCCCTTTGGGCATAGTTGAACCTGAAATAGCTCGGGAGTTAATACTATTTTACCATGTTTCAGCCTATTTCAGACGTGGAATGGTCTCCTATTAGGTAAAATTAGTGCAAGTTAGATAGTTTTCAGGCGTATAGAAGAACAATTTTGGATTTTTAGAATTCTGTATCTTAACTTTGAGTGGCACCAAAAATAGGTCATACCAAGATAGAGTGTAGAGTAAAGCTGGTCCGATGAAAAGACATGAGGAGCTAAGTGATGCTACTAGTAGCTATAACACCAGTGTATGTTCATAAGAGTCAGCAGGTAGATAGTATAAGGAACAAGCCCATCCTCGCTTCTCCAAAAATTTCAGGTCGTTGTTTCTCTGATTTAGAGAATGATTTTTGAAGATTTTGAACTAGCTTATTTAAATTTATGAAGGTTAACCATGTATCCTTGGTTAATTATGTATCATAATGAGGTTATATACTGGAGGTTTAGAGGAAATTAAGTAACCGTAAAGGTACGAAAAGAGCTTTCACACATTTTTACTTCAGAGATTTTTCTTCAATACTATTCTTGAGGCACTAAAAAGACATAAGTAGGGATAGATGTAGCATTTAACCCAATATTTCAGATCCATGATGAAGTACATATCCAACATCTGATGAGTTGCCGGAATGCTATCCTTTACTCATATCTTGGATGGATATCCTCACATTCACCCTATTGTGAGGAGGAGAAGCTCTTTTTCACAAAATTTTGACTCCTGAGAGGCTAGAGTGTACTTAAGACCCCTCTCCTTAGACCTAGAAATAGATTACCGATATTTGAAATAAGATCCATGTCCAATTTTTGGGATGCCAAAATCTACTGTTTAACAGCACTGTCAAGCAAAAGAAGCCTCCAATATTAAAGAAAAATAGCATACAAACTTCATGTTGGTAGTGAATTTCTTCATTCTCTCGGATTCGCGAAGGATTTTCCAAATCTTTCACTTAAGAAGTTTATTTCTCAATTAGAAAAGATGGCCGACACCTCATGAAGACCTCTTGTTACTCAGCACCGAGAGTAGCTCTGAAAGAAAAAGAGTTCTCCGTTACAAATCTAAGATTTTTTGTTATTTTTGATAGTTTTCCTTGTTCGTTTCTTCATTTCTGGACTAGAGAATCAGGAACAAACAATTAAATATTGCATTTAAATGCAAAGATGGTAGTGGTTAATGTCCAATTTATAGCTCTAAGACAACTAAATCAGGAGATTTTCACTCACAAAGTTTAATGTAGCCATTATACACTGATTCCTGATGCATTCTGCACAAACAAATGCAGATAGATTTTTCCTGAGGAACAAAATTCATCCGAGTTGGATTTGCTCTGTATTTCTTCCATCCTGACCCAAAACTTTAATGATTTTAACCCAATGAGAGGTATATAGAAGAAATTTTCAGCTAATTCAATTAGGAGCATCTTGGCTTATAATCCTGCTTTATATTAATCAAATCGTAGCTTTTAGAGATACCAGAATGAACGCCCTTCCATATTTTATTCAGTTTAGTACTATCTTGACTAACTAAGGCTATTTCTTGTTGCTAAAGCTCTGATCAACTCTTACTTTAAGTCCCTTCCAAATTAGGACTCTAAAGGCTAAGACCTGGATGAAATTTCAAGAGGGAACGATTATGGAGATTTTGAACCTGGCAGATCGGAATGAATGAAGCAAACACTCAGATATGGCAGAAATCTATGCCCAAAATCCCTCCCCTAACACCCCTCCAAGAAATAAGGCATATCTATGGTTTATCCAGTCTATCCCATCAGTGGTTAGAACCTCTGATCAAACGAAGCTTAGAATTTAACTGCAAAAATTCGGTATTCTCTCCATTTGTACTGTCTTTAAACTTAAAATAATACGATTTTAAGACTGGTTCATATTTTTCTTACTCTTTTTCAATGACTGGGAGACTTATGGGGTTTTGGGGTTTTGGGGTTTTGGGG